TGTTATTTGCTCTCACTGCCCCCATTCATTTCCTAGTACTCACTACAATTTGTGATTCTATACATTGGATGACTTGTTATCTGCCTCCCTCACTGGACTGTATCCTCCCTGGGAGCCTGGATTATGTCCCTTAAATTTGCCAGTGTTGTACCAAGCACAGTTCTTAGCACAGAGCAGAACTCAGTAACTATTGTTGGATGACTGACCAAACCTACTGCATGCCAGGTCCTATGCTGAGAAGCTTACATAAAAAGTCACAGATTTCTAAATAAACCTTCACGCCAACCAGACTACCGTGCAGAATACATACAATACTGAGTACAGTGCTAACTCCATGTTTCTGCCAACTCCTTGGAATGTGCCCCCTGCCCCGGCTGCCCCCCCACCCACCGCATCTGTTTGTATAAACATCATTTCAAGGTTTACCCCCCCCACACCCCACCCCACCTGTTCCAAATTAGGCATCTGTCTCAATACACAGCCTCCTTATTTGCTCTTGTGGCAACCTGGACTTCCCGTGCCACGACATGTAGAAACTACCCCAAAACTGCTCGTTTTAATTCTTAATTCTCTGAGACTAAGTTCTAGGAGGGCAGAGATTTGGTCCCTCTTTCTTACCATTCTACCCCCAGTGCCTAAGAGAGGGCCTGGCTCCTAACAGGTGTGCAATTAATCCTCATGCAATGAATGACTAACTGACCTCCCAGGATGAATGAATAAGGGGGCCTGGAGACCAGTTAAAGGGAGTGGATGTTCTCTCCTTGTTTACTCTTTTATGCAACCATATTGTCACCTTTAAAGTTACTTATGTTCATGTCTCTTGCTTTTGCTTTTCTCCTACTACGTCCCAGCATGCAGACTCATTTCTTTTTCATCTCTGAATCTCTTGAAGAATGTCACGTACAAAAAGTGGTACATGTTAAATGCTTACTGGAAACATGTCTGAATTCTCTCATGTTCACAGCATGTGACTCATCATGTAAAAAGTAGTGAGCAGTTTAAAAAAGGGAACACTTTTTATCACTGCAAGAGAGAAGACAGCTAGAATGCAAAGGCAATGCCAAGTTGCCCCCATGTCTGGAGAGGCCAGTGCATCGTGCAAAGCCCCCCTCACTGCCTGGCCAGCACCCGCCCCCAATCCCATGGGCTGTGGGAGCCTGTCTGCTGAAAGTGCTGTCCCTGGAAGGCTATAAACCCAGGAAGCGCCCCTCCTCAGGAGCCCATGGACACTGTGGGCCTCACGGCCCCTTTTTCTGCCTTCTAATTCCAGGCTACCCTGAGCAGGGCTGAGCAGATGTAAAGGTCAACAAGATGAGCGGGGAGTTTAAAAACTTTTTAAAACTTTTTGCATAGTGGTGAACAGTGGTTTATTTAAAGCCAACTCATCTTGGTGACTGACTGTAATTGCAGAGCTCCTAAGAGCCCCCATACCACTTTATTCCCTGGCTCGACGGCAAGTACCTCAGGGGAGCCCATGTCTGACCACACGAGGACTTTCTGACTTCTGACTTCCTCCACATCAGGGTCTCCCTAGCAGAACTCCACGAGGCACCCCAGCCATGCGCCCTCAGAAAGAGTACCACCCAATGGGCACATCTCCCAGGTACTGACGGCCGTTGCCTTCTTGCTTCAAATATCCCCACCCTCCCTGAATTCAAACCAATTCGGAACCAGGGAAAACACACTACAATCCATTTTGCTCAACCAGTACACCTGACATGGCTGACAAGACGCAAAGTTATTCGAAATATCCTTTGCCACCCTTTGTTTATAAGGGATGGTTAAAGGTTCTTAAAACGGGCATCCCAGACCCCATGCTTCTCTGGCAATTCCAGCTGTGAAAACTCAAGTGGGGGGTTAACATTTCTATTCTCCTTAGAAGGCTGAGGGGAGCCCCATGCTGAGGCCATTTCCTGGCCACTAGCTGTGCTACCCAAAGAAGACCCAACACTACTATGTCAGACCAGTTAGCACCAGCTCCCTTCTCTGAAACACTGGCACGGCCATCAATTATTAGCTGTTATTCAAGCTAGTTGTCAGCCATCTTGGGCAGAGTTCGCTTAAACTATCAGTCTAAATAAATGCTCTTCCTTGAAAATGCTGGTGGTGTGAGGCTCAGCAACCAAATGAGTGACGGACGCCTGCTCTGTGAACTTCCACTTCAACTGTAGCCTGACCTTCATCCGGTCCCACTTCTGGCTGGGAGGTCAGCTGGACATCGCCACCATGGGAAGTGACAATGTGCCACACTTGCTGTTTGCCTGGAGCTTCACGAGCACTCCCACATGCATTTTCTTATCTGTGCCTCACCACAGCTCTTGAGGTAGGAGGTATGAGCCCAATTTCACAGATAAAAAAAATTGAGACCCAGCAAGGAGAAGGGCTGGTTCCACACCCAGGTCCTCTGGTCCCAGGGTCCCTCAAACGAGTGCCTGCCGTGAGCGAGGCAATTCGAGAACTTTGGAGGCAGCAGCCCTGGTCCTCTGAGGCTAATGCTCTCTGATTTCACCCTTGCAGAGCCTGAGCAAGAGTTTTTTTAATCCTTAACAGGTTTGCTGCTGCCACCCAGAGGGCTAAGACACAGATGTGAAATAGATGTGGGTGAGTTCCAAGTCAGACCATGCCCAGGACACTTGGGGCTCGGATGGCAACGGGGTATTCTCACTCTCCAAGGAGGACAGAGGGTGGAGGAGGGGGGCCTGGGGAAAGGGGGTGAGAGGGCCACAAGGAGAGGAGAGGGAAGGAAAAGGGAACTGAGGGCGAGGAAGAGGGTGAGAGGAAGGAAAGAGAGAGGAAAGGGAGGGATAGGAGAGGAAGGAAGAGGGGGAATGGGAGGGGAAGGGGGTGGCGATGCGGAGAAGAGAAGAAACAGCTGATGTGTGACGTGCTGTAGATGAGACATGAGGACAAGTGTGATGAGAAAACACCCGTCAGCAGAGCCTGGGAACCATCTCCTGACAACGTCTGTGCTAGGGGTCAAGTGCTGCCTCACAGACAGGTGGGCGCTGGACAAGGTCACCTATGAGGGTCCGACCGAGCACCTCCACACAGACTGGCAGCATGTCCCCTGCGGTGGTGTAGTGCTAAAAGGACTGAAGATAAAACCCGGAAGCCAGGTCACCGTGGGGAAAATAGGAGCAATTCTACTTATTCTGCCACCTCGCAGGCAGCAGGGGACGTGAAAGAGGTGCCGCCATGGGGATCAGTGACGATGAAGGAAAAGTACTTGTGAACATAAAGGCATCGCTGGGACCGCAGGCATTCGGAGGGGCCCAGGAACTGGTCCTGGAGTCATGTTCCTTCTGAGAGAGAGCCAAGTTCGCCAGCTTGGCACTTACTCTTGCAAAAGATGGAGTATTATAAAAGAATAAAAGTAATTGTTGTAACTCATTAAATCCTCAGGGATGACAACCAAACAGCTGAATATCTTTAAGTATATTTCTAAAGAAAAAGATGTGTTTTATCAATTTCTATCTCTTATTGCAAAACCCTCCTATAATGCATTTCCCCATCCCCAAAAATCAGTCAAACCCTGTCCATTTTATCTCCCCAAATGCATATTTTTAAAAGTGCAGAAAAACAAAAAACGGAGTGAGACAACAAAGGAGCAAACACAGCAGGAGCTGGAACTACGGGAAGCGACGGGTGCTCGGAGGCAGCAGCTACCCCCGCCCGCCCCCACTTGCTCCACGGAGATACAAGCTGGAGTTGTCCATTGACAAACGGCCCCCAGGTGTGGCTCTTGGGCCCTAAGTAACCCTGACCGTGCTTGGCTTGTCCAAAACCTCCCACAGATTCCGCTCCTTTCTTCCATACTTTGTGGTCTCAACACCAGCCTTCACCTCTACCTACCCAAAGTAATCTCTCGTTACTGCTGCAGAGTCCCTGCCTTCAGAACACTGCAGCAGGCAAGGGCCCTCTCGAGTGGCTGGCCCAAGGCCATCGCTGGTCTTTAGAGCACGGAGAGAAGGGCGCAGGGACAAGAAAAGAGGAGCAAAGGCTTCGAAGTTAAGCAATCCCTTAACTTGGATACGTCAATGGGTATCTCCTTGAACTTGTTTTGTAAAAATGAGAAATGAGCCAGTAAGCAACTCCCAGCATGTAGTCCATCATCTTGTGATAAATAATAAACCTCTCCTCCTCATTATTTCCTGGTTAGATTGCAATGGGCAGCCAACGTTTCATGACAGGCGGTCGAGCCCAACAGTCCTGCTTTCCCCTCTTCAATGACTAGGCTTCAGATGAAAATGGGTTAAGCTGCCCACCCTGATCCATCTTACACAGCATTTTCATAGCAGGTATTGGTGTGGCGCCCGAGAGCCCCCAGGCAATTCATTTCCATACCTGGACTTGCATATCAACCACAGACACTCGCAGGTTAGAGGGAAAGAGAGCAGTGTTGGGGGTTCGTCTGTGACGACCACCATTTGTTGTGAAAAGGGAGAAGAAACAGATCACTAGAAAGATACCCCACTTCCCTCCCTCCTTCCTTTGCTTAACACACTAAAGAAAACAGAACTCAAAACTCAGCAGAGGGGACATGCACCAGGGCGCAGACGATCTCCATCAATGGCAGATGAGATCAAATTTGAGCACATTTTTGTGCCAAAGCCACCAAGCCATTGCAAACCTTGGGGTGTTTACTGTGGCCTTGTGTGGGCTATGCCACTCTGAACCAGTGGCCTTTGGAGCAAAGCAGGCCTTGTCCACAGTATAATAGGATTTGGAACGTAAGCATTCACTCCCATCAAATGGAAAATGGCTGCCTATGGCTCTGGGCCACGAGGATAACGAAACCCACTTCCGTGAGCTACACCCCAAGGTTTGAAGCTCTTGGCAATGAAGAGGGAGTAACTCCACTGTTCATTTATCCAAAGGCTGGGACTCGTGTCGCCTCGGCTGCTCAAAGCGCTACTTGACTATTCCTAGAGGAAGGGAGCGGGCCTCGAGGGGCCTCCCATGCACAGCCTAGGAAGAGCGATGGAGAACCCGATACCTACTGTTGGTCTTCATGCACATCTATCCTGCAGCACAATGTTAAAACAAGGGACAGCTGAAGGGATTTGGAACAGAATCGTCGCATTTCTCATAAGAGCAAAACAAACATCAAATGCGTTAGAGAGCTACACCCCACACATTCAGGCTCTTAAATCTTTCTTAAACCCTTCTCAAAGGCAGCTCCAGCAGAAAGTGACCTTGTGTGGCATTGCAGCCACACTCACTTTCATAAAAACCATATGGGACTTGGCAAATCCAATTCTCTGAACTGATCAGCCATTCAAAGGGAGATGAAGATCCTGTGCGCCAGGGTTTCCAGTTCAAAAACTTCCTCCATCAAAGGGGGAGGCGTGTGCAGTACCATTCCCACGGAGGAAGGGTGGGGCAGCAAACAGCATGGCTCCCGTCTGATACACCCCACTGGTCTTGGGGCCCCGTACTTGTGGCTAAGACTCACATGGGAGCCCCCTACTCCATTCTCCCACCTTCAAATCTCATGGGAAAGTAAGAAAGCCAGGTGGAGAAGAGACAAAGAAGCCTATGTTCTTTCTTTTAAAAAATTTCCAATTATAGTTCATATTTAAAATTGTTTTGCTATAATAACTAAACTGAAGACAGCATTATAAGACTTTCTATTTTCCTTCTTTAGGAACTTGATTTAAAAAATGAAGAAGGCTTACCCATTTTTGAAATAGAGGACATGGGCTCTCTGAAGTCCTGTTTCTAGGAAAAAACCTAGTTCTTGATCGTGGGGAGCAGGGCCAGGCTTAGGGCTTCTGTTTTGAATATTAGTAAGTATTACCTAGAAGGGGAGAAAATCGGAAAACTAATCAGATCCACATCCAAGCCTATGTCCTTTAAACCCTAGCGCTAAATGCACTGCACAATTTGAGAAATCAACTTCCTTATATGCAAACATCAGTGCATAGGCCAGGGTCAGGAAGGGAGAGAGAACGACTTCTATGAGACAAGGAGCAACCAAGCAACCCAGGGGCACATGCGGCCCTCCTGGCACCAAGGGCTGAGGAGGGAAGGGTGCTGATGTGTGCATGGTGCCAGGAGAAGCATTAGAGCTGGAGGGGCTCTGCCGAATGCCAGGATGTTGACAGAGAGGCTGAGTGACACAGAAGCAGGTCCCAGCCACGGGCAAAAAACCAGTCATCATCTATCAATGGCTGAGGTCACTGACCAGCCGACTGCAGCTTCAGCCCTTCGAGTTTGGGGAGCTCCAAAAAGGACAAGGAACTCAGTGCCGTGATTGGCACCGGCCCTAAAACTAACCAGAGAGGGCAAACTCTCAAGGCTATAAAACTGAGGCCAGTGGACTGAGCAGCAGTCATCGGTTCTCAAGGGGAGAGCTGAGAAAAACAACCTAAACTTCCTCTTTCCCAAACTCGACCTCTTGTCAACAGATAATGAGGTTTCAAAGGTTTCAATTTTTAGCCCTGCAAGAAAGGCTGCCAACTAATCAGGAGAGAGGCTTGCAAGCTGAGTAGGCTAAAGTGAAGTAGAAGTACGTGTCTACTATTGCAGAGGCCACTCGCTTTAAACTCACAAGTCAAACAAAGCATTTATCAAACAGAAGCTACTGGGGCCCATTAAAAATCCATACAACTGCTCTCCAAACATACTGTCCACATTTGCTGGAAGTCAGCAGCTCTTCAAAGACCCAGCTGTGAGCCAAGCTCCAAATATTCTAGAGGTCTTGAAGTCATTCTCCAAACGGAGCTGAAGCAATTGCTAGCTCTCTAACTTGTGAGCTCTGGGAACTAGAAAAGTAGAAGGCACACAGTGAACAGTTTGTTGTGGCATTACTTGTATTTGAACTGCATCCCAGCATCTTATCAACACTGCCTGGCTCCTCCATGACTTAGCTGTGCAGGCGCTAAAACGTAGGTGTTCCTCCTACCTCTGGGAACTGTCATTTTTTGGCTCTAATGCAGGCTCCTCCCCCACCCATCCTCTAAGTGATGGAGATGCACAGAGTACGGTCCTGGGCCCTTACTTGTCGGTTCTCCCTTAAGTCTCTCTCAAGATGATCTCATTCATTCCTCTGAGCTTCAAAAGTCATCTATATGCCGCCAACTCCCAAATTTATAATCTCTAGTCCAGACTTTCCCTCTTTGAATTCCAGACTCATATATCCAACTACTTTCCTGGCGTCTCCACTTGGAGGTCCAGCTTTGAAACTTTTAAAAATTATTCTCCATTTGCTTTCGAAAATTATTATTTTTTTTAAATGTCATGATTATTTAAAGCAAAAACAATTCAGTATAATACAAAAAAAAATTAAAAACCATCTCAAAATTCCATCACAAAGCAATAACCAGTTAATACTGATTGAACAACAATTCAGATCTCTCTATATACATATATATCAAGAGGAAAGATAAAAATCATGTGACAAAAACTGAGATGGTGTTCTAGATGCCAGTTTTAATTTAAACCATTACATTTAAATTTAATTAAACAGGAGAAACTAAAGTATGACCAAAGTAATCACTCAAAAAAAATATGGGTTTTTAAATTAATTTATTTATTATTACTATTATTTCTGCTTTTATTTATTTATTTTTTTTAAAGATTTTATTGGGGAATTGGGGAAGGGGAACAGTGTTGGGGAATTGGAGAAGGGGAACAATGTTGGGGAATTGGGGAAGAGGAACAGCCAAGTTGTTGTCCTTCAGTCTTAGTTGTGGAGGGCGCAGCTAGCTCAGCCCCAAGTCCAGTCACCATCTGGCTACCCATCAACTTGCAGCCACTCAGCTCAAGGTGCCGAGTTGAATCTTAGTTGAGGGGGGCACAGCCCACTATCCCATGCAGGAATCGAACTGGCAACCTTGTTGTTAAAAGCACGTGCTCTCACCAGCCGAGCCACCTGCCACCTGTTGGCAGCTCAGCAGCAGCTCAGCTCAGGCGCAGCTCACTGGCCCATGTGGGAATCGAACCGGCGACCCTGCTGCTCAGAGCTCGTGCTCTTAACCAACTGAGCCACTGGGCCAGCCCTCTGCTTTTACTTTCATTAGCATTTATTTGATGCTGAATTTACTCCCAGGCCATAAGTTTTTGTTTCCTCACTTTCTTCAGGGAGATCTTTTTCTTCTGTGTAACCTCGTCCTCTGGTTTAGGAGCAATCACCCCTTTTCAGTGAGGGTCATCTCGGCGTGGCAGGGAGAGCTCATCTATGGGTTAATCCACCTGTGAGCTCTGTAAATTCTGCTCTGTAAGTTCCGTGTTGCATCTTGGGAGCTTTGTTCACCAGGATGTGCTCAACGACCAGAGAGTCTACATCTAAGCCCTTAAGGTCAGCATTCCTCTCTGCGTTTTTAAGTATGTGCAGCAAAAATTCTGTCCTTTTTTTGGGCCACCGACCCTGCATCCAGCCCCACTGTTTAGCCTGGGCACACCTCCCAACCCCACCATTGTAATGACGGAATGGCACACACTGTGTCTGTAATGTGACGTCCTCTATATACCTGGTGGCTTTTCGGATGTGCATACTCTTGATGGCCTGGGCAGTTTCACGAGTGTTCTTAAAGTGAACATGAAAATTTACATGATTTTTTGGGGTTCTCTGGGTCAATCGAATAGCAAACCATTTTCAGAGATCACCTCAGGCAGCTCATGGGAAGAGCAATTAATTTATTTTTAAATTATAATTGACATACAGTATTATATAAGTTTTGGGTATACAACATAGTGATTTGACATTTATACACCTTACGAAATGATCACCACAGTAAGTCTAGTAATCACCTGTCACCGTACAAAGTATTACTCAGTTGAGAGGGAGAGAGAAAGGTCATTCTTTTACCTACATATTTCAACTGTAGTATCTATTGACTCCTGATAAAGATGAATAAATTAACATATTCATACTACCTTCTGCTTTGCCTTCTCCTCAGCCTCCTATTTTTGTTACATTGCCAAGGTTCCTAACAATTATGTTCTACTCCATAATTGTTTTGCATTAGTCCTATATTAAAATGTATTCATTGTTTCTTGATTTCTTTATTTTCAATCAATTCTTGGTAGAATAGTGCACAAAAGGGCTCAAGGATGCTATGGGCCCTGAATTCTTGTATGTTTGAGAATGTCTGTCTCTTGTATTTATTCCTCCAAACCTGACCGAGTATGACATTCTTGGATTTCATACTTTCTCCCCTCAGAACATGGCAGATGATTCTCCAGTCGTCTGACACTGAAAGTTGCTGTGGAAAATCGGAAGCCAGCCTTACTCTTCTCCCTGCAGATGATCTGCAAAGAGCAATCTCTTTTTTCCCTGAAGTCTAGAAAACCTCCCAGGAGTTATCTTGCCTTTCATCATTCTATGTCAGTTCTCCTGAGAACACAGCATAACTCTCATCTACAAATAACTCTCTATACTACAAATTCAAATCTGTAGTATAAAGTAATGCAACTGGAGTCAGGCTGCCATTCTGGGTTCAAAGCCTCCACTTTGGGCAAGTCACAGCCTCTCTAGACCTCAGTTTCTCGCTGGTAAAATGGAGATGACAAGAGAGCACGGTCTTAGCATTGTCCTATGGACTAACTGAGATAATGAATGGATAGAACACTTAGCACAAAGTAAATGCTCAATAGTTTTACTTTGTTGAAGAATTTCTTTTTGATTATATAATTGTATTTTTTAAATTTAGTCCATTTCTTCCATTTATTTTTCAGGAATATTAATTGTATATACTGTCTTCATTACTGTAGCTTTGTAGTGAGTTGAGGGATCAGGAACTCTGAATCCTTCAACTTGGTTCTTTTTTAAGGTTGTTTTTGCTCTTCTGGTCCCTTGCATTTCCATGTTAATTTGTGAATCAACTTGTCAATTTCTGCAAAAATGGCAACTGAGATTTTGATAGGGATTGGGTTGAATCTGTTGATCAATTTGGTGAGTATTGCCATCTTAACAAATTAAGTCTTTTGCTCCATGAACATAGGATGTCTTTCTACTTATTTAAGGTTTCTTTCATTTCTTTCAAAACTGATTTGCAGTTTTCAGGGCCTATGTTTGTACTTCTTTTTTATGTTTCCAATATATTTTAATCTTTTGATGTCATTATAAGTGCAATTGTTTTTTTATTCCATTTTCAGATTGTTCACTGCTAGTGTATACAAATTAACGTGACTTATGTATATTGACCTTGTATCCTATAATCTTGTTGAAATTGTTTATTACTTATAATAGGCTTTTTTTGTTTGTGGATTCCTTAGGATTTTCTATATATAAGATCATGTCATATACAAGTAGAGATACTTTTACTTCTCCCTTTTTAATCTAGATGCCTTTTACTTCTTTTCTTGCTTAGTTGTGCTGCCTAGAACCTCTAATAAATAGAAATAAAATAGTAAGAGCAGATATCCTTGTCTTCTTAGTGATTTAAGAGGAAAGCATCCACTCTTTCACCATCTTAGATGTTGTTAGATGTGAGTTTATCACTGGTGACATCTATCAGGTTAACTTCTATTCCTAGTTTGTTTAGTGTTTTTATCATGAGAGGGTGTTGGATTTTTGTCAAATGTTTTCCCTGCATCTACTGAGATTATCATTATCATGTGGCTTTTGTCCTTTGTTGTACTGATATGTTGTATTACATTAATTGATTTCTGTATGTTAAATCAACCTTGCATTCCTGAAATGAATATCACTTGGTCATGGTGTATAATCCTTTCTATATCTTGCTGAATTCAGTTTACTGGTATTTTGTTGAAGGTATTTGCATCTGTATTCATAAGAGATATTGGTCTCATAAAATGAATTATGGAGTATTTTCCTGCTCTTCTATTTTCTGA